GCAGTGAGACTGGAGCTCTGCAGTGCCCTGAAGACCACAATAGCCTTGCAAACCTTTTTCTTCAGATTAAGCCCAGCCCTGAGCAGCAGAGCAATGTGTAGAATTATTCCTGTTTCACATCATCACGTGGAAAAGAAAGAGCAGGGAATACACCAATTTTACAAGCCTGAGAATGAATGCAAGTGAGTATTTGTCCCACCATCTGGGGGAGATGATAGAGGTGAAGGAAGAGGGACTATGAGGGGGATGGTAAAAGTTGACAGAGACCTTCTATTTTTCTGGAGGGATGCTTTACATTCCAGCAGCAAAAATGGAGGAAGCGGACATGAGAATTAGATCAGAGAGGGGAAGTAAGAAGATGGATGAAGTGCAAGACTGGAGGAGCAAACGAGTCAATTATGAAAAAGAGGAAGGAACTGTGTGCAGAAATCAACGAGGAGATGGAGCTCAGGGGAAGGAACAGCAGCCAAAATGCTCTCAAATCAGAGAAGCTGCTGGGGTGAGAGAGACAGAAAAGAATTGGAATATTTCAGGTAATGATAAAATTGTAAACCCCTGCCTGCTGTATTTATTTGCATAGGGCAAATAAGCTCTCTGTCACCAGCTCTGTCCAGACATCTGATCGTGGCCCTGCTACAGGCAAAGACAGGAAAAATCAGCTGTGTCAAAGCTGCAAACCATTGGTGTGCATTAGAGAAATCAGAAGCAATGCATGAAACTCAAGGCTAGAGAGTAAGAGGAGAAAACTGTGGGTCATGCCTTAAACTAGATGAAGTAGAAATAAAGTTAAATGCCCATAAGGAACCACGGAATTTGGATGCTCAGAAGACAGCACCACTGAATGAGGGGGAAAGGCCAGCAGTACATCAGTGACCTGTACTCACGGAGGGAGGAGTCTCGGGCTGATGCCAGACAGACTTTAAACCAAATCCTCTGCTTCCATTGCCCAGAAAAAGCAATGTTCTTTGTGCACAAATTCCAGAGCCCTTACAGGAACTCATCCTCACCTCAGCATTGTTTAAGGGCTGGCATGTCAGCAGAAGTGAGGGGTGAGGTGCAGAGTCCCTAACCCAGGCACAGAACCTCACTGCCCTGTAGGGAAAGTCCATTTATTCAAAGCACAGACATCTTTATCCTTTCTACCACGGGCAACTGGGTATTGCCTTGTATCTTCTCCCTTCACAGTTCCCCTTCTGTTGGTCCTTTAGAACAGCAACAGTTGAGAAAGCTAAAAATAAAGCTATATAAGCAATATAATAGGCATGCAATTGCATGTCTATTTTCTTTGAAAAAATGATGCTTTATTTCCTGTTCAATGGAAAATACAGTTTGATGTTACAACTATTAGGTTTTGACCGAATGCAGAAATTTGACTGAAACAATGACATTTCCCCCTGTATTTACTATTACCATATGTCACTGATTATATATTTAAGTTGCAAAGATGAATTAAATTTCGTGGCTTCCTCAAGCTAGATTCTCTTGGAATGGACTGTCTTTTGTTACTAACCAAAATGCTGGGAAAACAGTTTAAATCAAAACAGCAGACTTTTGGTATCATTTCAGGAGAAAACTGGTTATCACAAACCAAGTGCTTAACACATCATCATCCAGAAGGCTGGGTAAAGCCTTGCAAAACTGCAGCCATCATGGCCAGGATAGAGAAAGAGGGTTAATTGAACACCACAGACTAAGAGATGGAAAAAGGAAGGCGGGGGGAAAAGGACACTGTTTGAAGCTCTCTTGCCTGGGGTCTTATTCCTTCTGCTTCTGAAGTTATCACATATCCCACATCACAGTGCTTATTTCACTTACTTAGGGAAAGTCTCTTCTCTAAGCTGGCTACAGAGCATTAGTGACAATCAGATTGCACATATGTTCCAGGAGAAGCCAGCCTTGTCCTTGCTAGATTTCCTCCTGCTTTCTGAGGAGGAGGGAAAAAAAATTCTGGTGGTTTTTATTTTTACTCCTTCTGTTTCCCATCATGATTTGGATTGCTAACATTTCTATCCCCACTAGGAGTCCCTGGTGGCTCCTGGCCCTTTTCTAAAGGACCAGCGGACAGCAGAGCCCCTGGGCTCCCATCAGCCAGGAAGGAAGTGAATTGCAACCCACAGCCTCCAGGACTCCGATCTCAGACCTTAAAGTCAAGGTGATGTAAAGAGATTTTAGGAAACTCCCCATGTCCATGCCTCCCACTTGCTCCAGGTCCTGTCTGGACCTGAACAGCCAGAACTGGAAGAGGACAGCAGTGACTAGAGGAGGCACCACTGGCAGGTTTGTGGATTATTGCAGGCTGTGACACAAGAGGGATCTCAGTGGTGGCAGACAGTGTAAAAGCAGAACCAGAACGGTGCTGGTGAGTGGGAATCAGGTTGTCATTCCTAACTGAAGAGTTTGGGAAGAACAGGTAGAAGAAGTGGGATTCAGCATAAGAAGGAGCGCTATGCTGTGCCTGCTGAAGGACTCACCAGGCAGGATACAGCCAGGACAGGCCTCAGTGAGAACACTGCAAATTCATGTCATACTTTGCCAAAGATTCAATGAATTGAGCATGTGCTAAAGCTGAGTTTGTTTTGTCTTATTTGGAGCTTTGGAAGATATTTCCTATCTTGACTCATTGAACACACTCCAACCACACACCTGCAACTTCTGGAGTGCATCCTCTCAGCAAGAGGCTGGCTAGCACGTCGTCACTTATGCAGGGCAAATCCTACTGAAAGCACATCTGACCACAGCTTTCACACCAGTTTACTTTTACATGTAGCACATGTAAGCTAACATCTGGCAAGAACACAACTATGTCCTGGTCGAGATGGAGCTCATAGCAACAGATGGTGTTTGATACTGCAGGAGCAGAGAGGCTCTACCCTAAACTGAGCATTATTTCCCTCCTGAGTTTTTACCTCCTCTGGCCACTTCTTTCTCTGAGTGGAGCTGCTGCCACTATGGCTTTGCAGTCCCCTCAAGACCAAACACACTCTCAGGCTGCAGGTCAGTGCCTAGTCCTAACATCCAGGTGATTTTGCTCCTATTGAGGCACGCAGAGCAGCAAGCAGGGTGCTGATGCAAGCACTACATTGTACATCAGCATGTGTGAGGTTAGCAATGCCCTGGGCCAGGCAGTGCCTCCAGTGCGGGAGGAAGCTTTCTCTCCAAGCCCACAGTAGCTCTGCCTGCAGGCACCGGTAGTCAGCAATCTAACAAGCAACATCTGCTGCCTATTTGGGGGCAAAGGATGGAAAAGCCAGCAAAGAGTAGCCTACAGACCCAGCTCCTCAAGACTGAGATTTTCGTACTTAAGGGAAGAGCGTTCGGAAGAGAAAATCCAGCATCAAAACAAAGGTTGCTGTGACTCTGGAAGACACAAGATGTGACTAACCGCCTCTGCAGCTTCACCCAGTTACTGTCCGCGACTTTTTAAATTTTTTTTTTGGCCAGATCTTTATTTTGCCAGTTAAAGTGCGGCGAGAGATTGCCACCTTGTGGTTCCTTCTCCTGCAGTGCCATGTTTTCCTTCCCACATGTTCCAGGCGAGACCAGTGGTTTCCAAACCGCTGTCCAGGGATTTCTAGTGACAAGGGTACTATGGACAAGAATACCTTCCAAATACTTAATTAATTGAAAAAAAAAGCACGTCTGTAATTCACAGTCTTCAGTTCCTATACTGAGAAACTTATCACTAGAAAACCTTTCAGGACTCTAACTTGCAAGTTCATAAAAATGAGTAATTACTGGCATGGGTACACAGCTGCCAAACAGCAATACAAAACACAATGGCAGTGATGCACAAAACCCTTTACAATGTTCTGTCTTTACAACATTCTCAGCACCAAGAAGTCTGCGAGAAATTCAGGGCTGATGACAGCCTGCCATTGCTAAAATATGGGATGATCTCAGACAGTAGTTCCCACAAGGTGCTAATAAAGAAGGAGCAGCCATGTGCTCACCCCCACCTTGCAGACAGGATGGCAGAAGCAGGTCCCGAGTCCCTCTGGGTACTGCTTAGGGCAGCTTGTGAGATCTGTCCCTCAGGCACCATAACCTGGGGCTAGGTCTGCACAAGCAGGTTACCAGGTGGCTCCTTCATCAATCATGCCCAGGCAGAGCACCAGGTAATCTTTCCCCAGTGGTACTAAAGGGGAGTTAGAAAGTGGACGATCAGCAGGAGCTTGTGAAGCAGCACACAGCCCCTGTGAACACCCAGTGAATTCATCACTTGGGGAAAAAAAAAAAAAGCTGCATCTCGCAGGGAGAGAGAGAAGAGTCTCCTGTAACACAGAAAGAAGCACAGATCCCCCTGGTAGCTTTTCATGCCTGTCTGCCTGCTGACATACTGACACAGAAAATGACCTATTTTCATGGGAGCAATAATGAGTGAATAATCAGAATTTTTCGGGCACTTCCTTTGCCTCCATAACATTTTCTAGCTTATTGCTTTGCCACTACTGAGCCTGTTGCAGTTGTAAGCAACTGCTTTCCAGTTCTCCAGCCTCGTTTCAAGTTTGTCATGAATGCTGGTCCAGGGAAGACACAAAAGTTTAAGGAGTCCCTAAGTGCATTCTTGAGCACATACTTCTGAAGCTGATAAACTCTAGCAACATTCCCCATCAGGTCTAGACACGAGAATAAATGTAGCTACAGTGTGGTATATTTGTTTCCTAGAGACTCCAAATCTAACAATTACCCACCCCCCATTAAAAAAACCCCAAACAAACAAAAAAATCAAACCACTCCCACGGAAAGAAGAGAAATTAATCTGAACTGAAAAGCTGAAGAGTAGGGCCTCGACAGATAACAGAGGGAGGCTGAATACAAATTCCAGTTTCAGAGACCGCTGGCGGAAGCCCCTCAGCAAACCCCGACCGCGCAGCGCGGGGAGGCGCAGCCCCCGCACCGCAACCCGCAGGCAGGGTACCCGGGATAGCACCGGGAGCCAGCGGCTCGGGCCCGCAGCCCAGCCCGGCTGCCAGGGCAGGGGGCTGCCCGTGTCACCGCCGATGTGCTCCGCCGCGGATCCGCCAGCATCTCACCAGGAGCGGAGAGCGCGGTGCGGCCCGCCGCGGGGATGCTCCCGCTCGGGGCGGGCGGGCGAACTCCTGGGTCCCCTGCTCAGCGTCCCGGTCTGCGATCCCGGCCGGCGATCCCGGGGCGGCAGCTGGGGCCGGAGCCGGGGCGCCGTGCTGCTGCTCTTCTTCTCGCTGTCGCCGCGGCCGCCGGCCGGGGCCGCCTGGCTGCTGGGGCTGCGGCCCGAGGACACGACGCCGGGCCGGGTGTCTCTGGAGGGCGGCGCGGTGCAGGCGGCGGAGGGCAGCCGCTTCCTCCTGCGCCTCTATTTCCAGCCGCCGCCCGAGGGCAACGGCAGCCGCGGGCCGGCGGGGGAGCGGGAGCCGCGGCTGGTCTTCATCGAGGAGGCGGCGGCGGGGAGCGCGGCGGCGCGGGGCCCGGCGGAGCGGTGCCGGCTTCTTGCTGCGGGTGCGGCCGGCCGCCCCGCCGCTGGGCACCTGGCTGCTGCCGCTGCCCGAGGCGGGCTGGCTGCGGGCGCTGGGCGCCCTGCTGCTGCTGGGGCTGTCGGCGCTGTTCAGCGGGCTGCGCCTCTCGCTGCTCTCGCTGGACCCGCTGGAGCTCCGCGTCCTGCGCAACAGCGGCTCGGCCGCCGAGCGGGAGCAGGCGCGGCGGGTGCAGGCGGTGCGCGGCGGCGGCGGCACCTACCTGCTGTGCACGCTGCTGCTGGGGCAGGCGGGGGCCAACGCGGCGCTGGCCGGCTGGCTCTGCGCCTCGCTGCCCGGCGGCGGGCCGGCGGCGGCGGCCGGCGGGCCGCGGGGAGCGCCCTGGCTGCCGGTGCTGCTGTGCACCGCCGCCGTCTTCCTGGGCGGCGAGGTGCTGCCCTACTCGGTGTGCTCGCGGCACGGGCTGGCCATCGCCTCCCGCACGCTCTGCCTCACCCGGCTGCTGATGCTGGCCGCCTTCCCCCTCTGCTACCCGCTCAGCCGCTTGCTGGACTGGGCGCTGCGGCAGGAGCTCAGCGTCTTCTCTACGCGGGAGCGGCTGCTGGAGACGCTGCGCGCCGCTGGCCCCCACGGCGACCTGGTGCGGGAGGAGCTGGCCATGGTGCAGGGCGCGCTGGAGCTACGCACCAAGGTGGTGGAGGATGTGCTGACCCCGCTGGCCGACTGCTTCATGCTCCGAGCCGATGCTGTGCTGGACTTCGCCACCGTCTCTGAGATCCTCCGATCTGGCTACACCCGCATTCCGGTCTATGAGGGTGACCGGCGCGACAACATTGTCGACCTGCTCTTTGTCAAAGACCTGGCCTTTGTCGACCCTGATGACTGCACTCCCCTGCAGACTGTCACCCGCTTCTACCGCCGGCCGCTCCACTGCGTCTTCAATGACACGCGCCTCGACACGCTGCTGGAGGAGTTCAAGAAGGGTGAGGTCACCGGGCCACCCTCCGCACCCCCCCGGGCTTCCCCTGCCCCCCTCTGCACCCCCAATGATTTCCAGGTCAGCAGCCTCCACGGGCAGCCCTGCATGGCCTCCTGGCAGCATGTGGCAGGTACCAGGGATGCTGGGGGGAATCGGTCCCTGCATGTGCTGGTGTGTCGATGACCCTGGTGTCCCCTGGTGGAACATCCCCGGGTGGATTGAGGGCCAGCAGCCCGTGATGTACCTGTGATGTTATGAAGGCTGTCAGAGCCTTTGGCTCACAGGTTGCTGTCTCAGCAGGTGAGCCTGGCCCCCAGGGGCTGATGGCAGCAGGGGCCTGGCAGCATGGGCATGGCACCTGCCTTGCACCACTGCCCAGACAGCATTCGCTGCTCTGTTCTGTGCCAAGGAGTTGATGACAGGAAATCGCTTCTCATGACTTAGCTTTCACATTTTCAGCTTAGCAATGAGAATGAGGTCTATAAAGTGTTCCTATGCAAGTGGTTTAAAGAAAGAAGAAAAGATTAAGCCCTTAGAAAGAGCTGTACTTTTTTTGCAGCTGTGACAGCATTCATAATGCAGCAGCTGCCAGCAGCCCCAGAGATGCTGAGAGCTGTATTTCATTAAGCATACCTTGAGAATACACACAGCATGTGTTTTTCTCTCCCACTGGGAGCTGTGTTTTGCCGCGTGCTCCTCGCTACGTCATGCTGTGGTGAGTCTAAGAAATGGCTGCAGCAGTGGCATGCTGCATTATGTAATGCGTGAGGGCAGCGCTTGGCTCCTGGGCTGCCTGGCGCCGCTCTGCCGCAGGCAGGGCTGCTCGTAGGAGAAAGGCCAACCTGGTCACTCCAGATACACAGGAAGCCTCTCTGTGAGTCATCTCCTGCTCGTTTGTGGAGGTGGCAGGAGGAGAGGGTAGGACATTTCTCAGTGTGCCAGGAATGTGCTCATCAGGTACACGCAGGTCAGCATCTTCTCCAGAGATGTTCGGCTGTGCTCCCACACCACTCGGGATCACAGGCAGAGGAGTTCTGTGTGCCACCACCTGCCCTCTCTGCCCCTCAGCAGGACTGAAGACTCCCAATGGAGAAAATCAGAAAATTCCCGGGTTTTATTCAAGACTGTTAGCAAAAGCGTTGAGATTGTTCTCTGGGTTCAACCTTGGCGAGCTGCAGTAGTCCATGCCTGCCCCCTTCCCCCCATGTCAGCTGCCTCTTGTCTTCCTAATTCCTTATGTGCTTTGCAGTTCCTTCCTAACTGTGTTTTCCTGCGATAGCACTTAAGTTCACCTGAGGTCTCTTCTACCTCTCTCTTGTCTAGAGATGTCAGATGATTTTGGCACCCACTCTCTTGGTGAGGCTCCCCTGCAATTTATCTGATTTACTTTGATACACTTCCCCTTCCAAATTTCTTCTACAGCATGGTACCCTATGGACCAATAGACCTATAAAAATGGGCTTGTGGTTGCTTAGTTCCCTGCCCTTTGCTTGCTGTCCTCTGTGCCCTCCTTAAACAGAGCTGCTTGGTGTGTGCTGCTCTGTGAGCTCATGGGTATGGTAACAAACCTGGCTACCTGCCCTGCACTTTCATATGCTGATCTTCATCTCAGATGAAGATTATTCATCCTTCTTTAATATTGCTCCTTTGAACTCTTGGCATATCACTTCAGATTCTTCCTCCTTTGTGTCTGTCTGCCACTGTGGCCTTCTGGGGTGTTTTGCTACAGCTCCTATTTAGAGCTCTCCCTAAACTCTTTGTCTACTTCTACCTCTCTTCTCCTTGTCTTTTCTAAACTACATGGCTGACAAGCCTTGCTTTTGGTCTTTATATCTAACTCTGCATGGGGTTTAGCATTTCCAGCTCTTCCCCCAAATGTTCTTCTTTCCAAGAATTGATGTTTTCTTCTGATTCATCTTTCCTCTTAGTCACCCCTGGCACCCTGAATTCGCAAACAGTTCCCCCCAGCCCAGCCCTGAACCCTCCTAAACTGTATTTTTCCAGTTCCAAATACAGGTTCTCACACTGGCTCCCACACTGTGACAGATGTTAGCTCCCAGCTGCCTTCAGCCCATCCACTGCTGCATCAGCCCTGTTCACTTGACTGTTTAATTTCCAAAATAAAGATTTCCCATTTGTAATTAAGAATCTTTATCACTGTCTCCTTTTCTGTGTCCATTTGAATTATGGTGAAGTATCTTGTTTGATCCAATCAAGGTTGCTTTCCATGGCCAGGTCTTCTGAGACACCTTCACTAATTAGAAAGTAGGTTGATTGCTTGTTGGCTCAGCGAGTGTTTAATGAAGGCATTCATCACTTCACACATCCAAGGTGCCTGCAGGACAGCAAATGCTCCCACTGAAAGCCCAGCCTCTTTCTAGGAAATTAAAGTCTCTGGTAAGGATGGGCATTAATAACCACCTCCAGGTCCTTATGGCTCTCACAAGCCTTTAGAAAAGCCAGCTTTTCTTTCCTTTTCTCATGACTAACTCAAACAATTTTTGTATCTTTTATTTCTTTTTGTTATTATAATGTTTATACAAAATTCCTGTAACATTTTATATCCTTCTTCCTTGGATAGCAATGTGTACTTCTGATCTGTTTCACTAATGATTAATGTTCTGCCACATCCACTATACCCATACTGTCATTTTTTGCATAATGTATAAGTAACGCAATTTCACTGCCAGAACTCCTTGCCACAGTACACAAACATTTGTTCTTCCTTACTGAAAATGTCAAGGGATTATTAAATGCAGTGCTTTGGGACTCTTGCTCACACCTCTGACAGCACTTTCATTTTCTGTCTCCTACTCACTGATATCTCACTATTGTCCTTGTTTACCTGAGGCATTTCTTTTCTCTTGCTGTTCTGTCCCAGCTATGAAGATAATCAGCCTTTTTTCCTCTTTGGTTTTCTATAGCAGGGTTTGAGGGGAAGCTTTCCTTCATTTGTTTCTAGGTGTGCTCACACTAACCTTGTTTGAGTGCAGTTCCATTAAGATGCATTGGTGTTTACCTTGATTTTAATCCACAGATGTGTCACAAACTGCCTCTCCCCCAGCAGGACCTTGTGTGGAAGGGATTACCTTCCACAGACCTGTAGCATCAGCTTTCCATTTAATTTAACATTTAAATTGTATTAAATAGTAGCACACACTCAGTAGCGCCCAGGGAGCCCCTGGCCCAGTGTGGTTATGATGCCCAAGAGAGCTGTGAGCTCCTGGTAAACAAAACCTGGCCCAGAACTCTTCTCCTCTGCCTTTTCACAACCCTGCTGCTGCAGCCATTGTTTGATTTCTCTTTCAGTAGTGATTCCTGCAGACAGGTGGTTAAATTGGGAGTCCCAATGGGAGCTGGGAAAAACCCAGAGAAGATTCTAAAAAGCACCAGAGGGGCAGTCTGGCCTGCAAGAGAATAGTGTAGATTTCAACCCACAGCCCAAATGAGGAGGGCAGCTGCAAGAACCCTGTAGAAAAACGACATTACAGCAGCGTGAGACAGGTTCAGCTGAAGGAAGAAAATATTTGTGCTGCAATATGGTTTTGACTTCATCTTCTCAGCAAAAAGAACTCAAATAATGAGGGCTGGACACCAAATTTGCCATCTTTTCAGGGAAACTAGACACAGTCTTTTATAGAAGGCATACATTGTAGTGCAGCATTAACTGAGAAGTGCTAAGTGAAGGACCCTAGACAAAATGTGTCCCCTCTTCACTAGCAATAAGAAAATACATACCAGTACAGTAATTTTACTGCCTGCAGCCTGGTGAAAGAAGATGAAAATACTGAAGGAGTGAAAAAATTGGGAGACAATTTCTTGGCAATTTGTATTGGTACACCTTGGAGTACCTGGCTTTATTCTGGGCTACCAGGGGAAAATATCTAATACACCAAAAAAATAATTGCACCATATTTAGCAAGCTGCAGCTGTGTCGGGAGGCAGATGAGCTTTCTGTAGGATAAACTTTACCTAGGGAATGTGGAGCTATGAGGAAGGCTTTATGTATTTATTCAGTGTGAAATGTTGTGGGTGATACAATCTGTTTCTCCTCCTTTCTTGAAGATAACCAAGCAATGCATGTTGCAGCTCCATTCCAGTGACAGAACTGCTCCTGGAAACCTCCTCTGTGAGGTCCACCTCCTTGTTTTGCAGTGCCTCTGGGAAGTCACAGTCTTGTCCCTTCCTCGAGCTGTTGATGGGTTTGTTGACTGATTTCCTGGAGGGGTCTATGTACAGCACTGGCACCTTGAGCAAGTAACTTTCCTCTGTCAGAGGAGCAGTAGAAATTTGGTCTTAATGTTCATTTTCCTGAAGCAGGGCAGAGGCTGAGCTGCAACTCAAATTAGCCTTCTGTGGCTTGGCATCTTTTAAGAGTTACTAAGAATAAATTCTCCAAACCCTAAATTTCAGGCTTAGCAGGGAAAACAGCCTGTCCTGTGGAGGACAGCTCTGCCCTACGGTCTGTCTTTACATTTCAAAATTGCTCCACAGCCTCTATTAGACTTCTGCAAATTGAATGTAGCTGGAGAAGGTGCTTACATTTGCCAGGAATTGGGGTCAGTACCATTTCAGATGCTTTTTGTACCATCCTGCTGATCCCGCAGGCATTGTAAGCACACAGTGCTTCAAATTTAACTCAGCCTTCAAGAGATTTCTGCAAGTGTTTTAGTCACTCTGCTGGGCATCTTGATGAGCTGAAGCAGTGCCCTCCCAAGGCAGTTGTATGGGTTAAGGAGCCAGTTTTTCCCAGGAACTATCACCTACATGTCCCCTGGAATGTGACTGCCAGGCTGAGAGCAAGCGAGCTGCTGATGGACAAAAAATGGTCTCAGTGTCTCATGCTGCAATTCTGCCTGAAACATTACTGTGCTTCTCCCACTAAACTGTGCCTAAATCTTACTGTGTAAACCCTGGACTGCTCTACCCACCCCAATAATCCCAGGATCAGGGATCCTGCTCTGGGCAAGCATTCAGCAAAGCCAGAAGGGAGCCAAGTCCTTGGGGGAGAGGGCACCCTGCCACCCCCTTCCCTCTTCATAGCTGTCAAAAGCACCTTCACACTGAGCTGTGGGGTACCCAGGAGGTCAGGATCCTGTTGCACAACAAATGGAAGATGAGATTCTGTATCCCCTCTAATCTTCTCCTTACCTTTCTGATCTGCAAAGGTAATAGATGAGCAGATGAGCTACACCAAATATTCCATCTTTTTTACAGTTTTCCTTAGGATTAGGAAAAGCACAAAAAGAGACTATGAGAAAGGCTACAAACAGATGTAAGCAGGTGAAGTTTTTGTCTCCAAGAAAGGTCTGGGTTAGGTTAGGATTTACAGTTTTTCCTTCACATAGCTCTTATTCCTGCAGAGCTGTATAGCCCTGCAGCCCTCTTGGTTATTTCCCCCCTGCTTGGATGTGCATTTCCTCTCGACACAATGTGTGCTTTCACCCATGGTGCAGTGGTGGTAACACAGGGTCACACTCACATTTCCAGTTCAAGGTGTTCAAATCAGGGTCCCCACTTTCTTCAGATCAGGTCAGCAAGAGGGCACAGAGATGCTGGCAGCCCCTGTGAAGAGCTCTGAAGAAAAGCACACAGAAAATAGATTTCAGTTACATCATGGTTGTTTCACAAATCAACGTTTTTTAAAAGTTACTCTTTTTTTTTTTCTTTTTTTTTCCTGCCTTCCATTTTGTAGCTGTAAATAGTTCAGGCACAGGTCTGTGCCTCTACCTTTGATCTCCTTATAACAGCTTCAAATCTTACTGTAAAATTTATGAAAATTATTTTCATGCCCAGGATGTTCATCCTGTGGAACAAGAGACAAGGCTAAAGCATCTTTAACATTCCGCTGACAGGGTACCTATATTAAAAAAAAGATAAAGAAGTAGTCTGGGCTATATTTGAATGCAACAGCACTTTCTTTCCCAGAAGTCAAGGCATTTCCATGTGTTCAGACCCCGTTCCCTCATTGAGGAAGATACTTTGAGGTGGATCTATGAGCCCAAGGTCATTTAGGTGCCTATGAAAACAAGGCTCCTAAAAATGGGCATAAAAGCTTCGGATAGCTGTTCAGATGCTTGTTCCATCTGGAAGCTCTCAGCTGTTTATATTAGCTCTGTAATTTAGCATTTTGAGGCATTAACTTTCCACTGAAGCTGTTGTTTGAAAAGAGCAGATTTCATGTAGCTCATAAAGAATTTAGTGCAGTTGTATCCCATGCTGAGCAGACACTTAATCACCTATAGACTTCCTGTGCCAGAGCCGTCCTGCGGAGGCCGGCTGAGCTGCTCGCACAAGGGAAGTTAATTGCCCATTTGTTCTAGCATTTGCCAAACCAAGGCTTTGATTCTCAAGTGTTTCACTGTGCTTTCCTGCATCAGCAATAGCCCTGTAAAGTTTACATGTGACAGCTTGCTAGTGGGGAAGCAGCTCACCCTTATAATTCATCTCATTTGAGCTATCAAGCAGTTGTTACAATAGCACGGGTTTTGGAATCAGTTTTACAGATCTTAAAGCTGTTTTAGATCAAGTTTGGGGGTTTGCTTAAATGATTTACCTCCCTCTGTTGTGCTCCCACTGAGGCTGACCTGCTGGATAATGGCTGCAGAGGCAAATGTGACCCCTCTGGTGTCCTCAGGTCTGTCCCTATGCCACCCTCCCTTACACATTGCTCCCACCTCACTGCCCGGATTCTGCCCTTGTACATGCTCTAAAGGCCACTGCTTTCCCCCCTGCAAGTGCAGCAGCCCCCAGGGCTGGGCAGAGGGATCCAGCTGAGCTTGGCAGCATTGCCCAGGAAGGAACAAGCCATGACCATACAGCCAAGGCACCTGCAAACCCCACGCCGAACTGTATGGGGTCTGTTAAAAAGCTGATGGGAGGAGATACAGGACCCAGTCAGGTCAGGGGGTGGGGCACAGCTTTGCCAGTGATCTCATGTCCCTCAGGTGGGAAATGGGAGCATGCCAGCCCTCTCCCAGAGGGGAGCAGCTGCGAGCAGCACTCGCTTAAAGGACGGGACTGGCTGGCATTCAGGACTTTTTGTGACATGGATACCAGCTGGCCAGCATGGGCTGGGATCAGCTCCCTCGGTATGGGCAGCAGCAACCACACTGAACTGCAGCAATTTTCCTTTGTTTGGTACCTGCTCCATTTCTAGTGTGGGTATTAGCCTGGAAACGTGAGCCTGGGGGTTTGGAGTGTGAACACAAGTGTTTATTTTCTGTGAAAATAAAGAACTCTGGAGTGCTCTAACAGCCCTACTGGCTCTGCCCCCAGTGCAGTGGAGCCATGGGTCCCCTTCCAGGCTAATGGTGCTGGGTTATTTCTAAATAATCTCATTTGCAGTTACGTGAGCATGGAGTTTGAATCACATTTCTAGTGTAAATTGCAGTGTCGATGTAGGTGTTTGGCCAAAAAAAGAATTGCCTCCATCACTCTCTGACTGCCTTTAAGTAGCACCTAAGCTTTTTGTAAGGGCTTGGTGGTTTTGGGTTGCATGTAAATGTCATTAACAACAAGCTCTCAGCCAAAAGAAATAACTTTTTCCCCCTCCTCACTCACCCAAGGACTTGTAGGAGACCAGATGGCCCCAGTGTTTGGGAGCAGAGTTTGGCAAAGGAGACCTTTTCAAAAGCTGGACTTTGCTAAGATGAAATGTAGCTGTCGCTGCTGTCTTGCAGCCAACTCCTCTGCTTTTTTCTTCTTAAGTGCTGTGCTGCTTTATGAACAGAAAAGATGCACAAACCTACGTATGAAAGGAGTGAAATAGCCCAGTCTAAAGAACATGCTGGATTTTCAGTGCCCCAGGGCTATTGATTTTGGGTTTTTTTAAGTAAATCTCAGTGCTACTTGCTGCAATGTTATGTTCTCATTTCTAAATCTGTAGGCGTGGGAGGCAGCGAGCTGCTCTCTGAAATCTTGCAATAAAAGCTTGGTATGAGGAGGAGGGAATTTATACTGTGGAAAATGCCCAAGATTTGCTGTGAGAAATGTATAGTGCTGATCTTCAGCTGAGAAATGTCATCTGCTCGTCTCAGATGCAGGGCAGGGTTATTTGGAGGTCACCTGATCCCAGCAAGCCGTGTTTGTGGGACTGCCAGGCTGCTCTCCCTGGGTGAGCTTGTCCTGCACCTCTGCAGGGACAGCAGGGCAGCTCTGCAGGCAAGGAAGGAGCAGTGCACCAGGCAGGAGCCCACCCTGTCACGTCTTTATGTGTGAATGCTGCTCACATCCCCTGTCGGGAGCAGCAGGAGAGCTTGTTGGGGTGGGTTATGGGAGAAGTGGATGCAGAGGCAGCTGCAGAGCAGGGAGGACCTTTCCCCATTTTGGGTGACCATTGCTGCCCAAGGAGCTCAGCTCCGAGCCCATGGGGAAATGAGGTGTTAGCAGCTTCCCAGAGTCACTGCAGGACTTCAGGCTTGGGCAGGCATTGCAACAGGAGACCCCAGGGATGCAGAGCAAACAGGGGGAGCAGAAGTTTTTGGCTGTGGTGCCAATGAGGGTGCTTTAAAGCAGAACTAGAGGTTCAGAATCTGTGTGCACTGGTGGGCAGTGTGGGAGCCACACAGGCAGTAAGAAACCCAGTGCTGTTCATTGGCAGGTCGGAGAACGTGTTTGAGGTAGAAACCCAGAAGTTGTTTGTGGTTTGGAAGTCGGGTTCTGGTCAAGATGCTGAGCAGCACCATAAATCAGAGCAGCCAGTAAAGGAAGGGAGAGGTTGAAAAAGTCAAAACAGCTTACAGAGAGCTGGACATGCAAAAACAAATAGAAATGTTTCAAGTATGCCAAAACCAAGAAACTTGAGAATGTGTCAGCAGAGCTGCCAGCTAACAAGGGACAAGTGAGGAAGCTGAAACTGTGATCCAGGAGCACTGGAACTTCCAAGCAGGAGTCAACATCATTGCAGCTGAAGGTCTTGGACTCACTCTGTTTGTTTAAGGTAGCATAGAGAAGATGCTGTTAATGGCAGGGCTTGGAGAAGAATTTCAGGTGCAAGCTGATGGGTTGAAAAGTGTTCAGTGTTTGCATCCAGATGGTTCACCCAGGCGTTCTGCAGGAGCTGGGCTGAAAGCTGCAAACAAACATTCATGTTTCTGCATAAAAACCAGCTGCTCTTTCAAGGAGATGGAGGCTTTGCCCATATTTTATGAAAAACCTCAGTATTGGTCTACACATGATGGATAGAAAGATGAGGGGGAGCTGTTCCTGGTGATTTAATAGGAAAGATAATTAGCAACAGAATAAGAAACACCAGAAGGATATGGGAAATCAGTAGAGCCAAGGACACATTCACATTTCTGTGTTGGAGAACATTGTCTCATTTCTCTGTTAAGAGTTGCTTCATGTAAATGAAGCTGAGGGTAAGGAAGAGACGGTGAAATGTACTCTTCATTCCTGCACAGGAGGCTTTCAGAGAGCTGAACAGAGTGACTCACAGCCTGGGTAAAGAGAGAAGGTAGCCCCAAAAAGGAGCCTACATGTACAAATCAGTCTGGACAGCTGCTGTCCTGTTAGGCTGGGCTGCGTGTCCAGCCCTTCTCCTTGGGTTAGCACACCTGGGTGGGTTTGGGTGACAGTGTCTGCTGTGATCTGTGCCTCCCACCAAACCCTGCCCACCACGCCGGGGAGCCCTCTCACCAGGCCAGGTGTCTCACTGCCACTCTGCTCTTCCCTGCAGGAAAGTCCCACCTGGCCATCGTGCAGCGGGTGAACAATGAAGGGGAAGGAGACCCGTTCTACGAGGTGATGGGCATCGTCACCCTGGAAGATGTCATTGAGGAGATCATCAAGTCCGAGATCCTGGATGAGACGGATCTGTACAGTTAGTGTCCCGAGCAGCTACTGCGGTTGCAGGAGCCAGGGTGGGAGCCTGCACAGACAGACAGACGTGGGTAGGAAACAGGCCAGAGCAAATTGTGGTCCTTCCCCAGAGTGATTTGCTGATGTGATGGGAAAGACAAGAATGATGGAGAGATGCTGGTGAAGTGTCTCTATCTTGGATGCTCAAGATAGAGAAGTACCAGCATCAGCAGTGGGTGGCTGGGCAGGACCTGACCTAGGAACATCTATGTTGGGCATGAAATGGGTGGTTCCCTAGCTCATTTGCAGCTCTGTGTGATGCATCCAGCCTGGAGAACCCAGGGCTTGTTCCTGAGGAATAAGTGTGGTTTACAATCCTGCTCCCTGCCCAGGAGCTGCTCCCAAGGCTGCATGCACAGCAGGTTTTATCACCCCGCTGCTCCACGCACTGCTCCACAGCAGCGCTGCCACAGGGTGCAGCCAGACATGCCTGTCCATACGTGTGCACGTGACAGGGCGCCCTGCAGCTACAGCAGCCTTGTGAGTGACCCCTCTGCTCTGCCTGCAGCTGACAATCGGAAGAAGGAGCGGGTTCCCCACCGGGGACGCAAGCCCCAGGATTTCTCCATCTTCAGGCTCTCAGAGAGCGAGATGAAGGTGAAGATCTCCCCGCAGCTCCTCTTGGCTACCCATCGGTTCATGGCAACAGGTACACTTCCCCTTGTGCAGGCCGTGCAGCACCAGCCCCACAGGGGATCCCTAAGCCATTCCTGGGCTCCCTCCCACTGACAATTCCCACCCGCTGGACCTACAGCCTGGACATTGCACTGCCCTGGCAGAGCAGGTCTGCGTTTGGCTCCCTCTTGGCAGTGGGTGCTCAGGCTGCAGGAGCAGGGCTGTGCAGCTCAGAGGATGAGGGGTTCCCAGCAGTCTCCTGCCAAGCACAGCATGTGTGTGTTGCCTCCCCTCTAGAAGTGGAGCCTTTCAAGTCCCCCTACCTCTCCGAGAAGATCCTGCTGCGGCTCTTGAAGCACCCCAATGTCATCCAGGAGCTCAAGTACGACAGAAAGAACAAGAAGGCAGCGGAGCATTACCTCTACCAGCGCAACCGCCCTGTCGACTACTTTGTCCTCATCCTGCAGGTGCCTGGGGCAGCAGCAAGCAGAGGGTGGCAGGCGTGGCCCTGTGTTCTCCTTGCCACCTTGTTCTAGGCTGCTTCTGTCAGCAAAGATGCCCATCCTCTTGTATGGGACGGCAGGGGTCCCTGCAGCCCTGGGTGGGTCAGGAGCAGGGGGTGCTTGTCTGAGAGGGTTTTCCTCCTCCTCCCAGGGGAAAGTGCAGGTGGAGGTCGGCAAGGAAGGACTGCGGTTTGAGAATGGGGCGTTCACCTACTATGGCGTCCCTGCCATCATGGCTGTTGTCTCCTCAGGTGAGCTCTGTGGGCTCCCTCTGGCCCTGCCTTTGCTTCAGCAGCATCCATGGAGGCTAAACCAGCTGGTGCCAGAAGGGGCTGGCCATGGGGTGGGGTGGCCCTGCTTTGGGGATGGGGCAGGAGCCCTTCCTCTGCTATTCCCACACCTCCAACTGTTGTTTCAGAAAACGATGTGCGAAAAATGGGAAGCCTGGCAGGATCCTCCTTCCTCCGTAAGTATTTTGGGACAGGCTGAGGCCCTAAAACCTCTCTACAGCACTGGCTGGCTGGAGGAGTGATGGCTTTTCTCTCCATGAGAAACAGCTCAGACTGTGCTGAGGTAGGCAGAGAAACAACATGCTGAGGGGCTGATACAGCAAAGACCCCACAGAGTGACTTGGAGGTCCCTTTGAGGTTTCTTTGGTGTCCTTTTGAAGTTTCTACCATGTGCTGGCTCTCCGCTGGTGGGTTCCAGCATGACTGGTGCTGAAAGGGGCAGTGCCCACAGGTAGGTGTTGTGCTCATTCTAGGTGTCAGTATAACACCTCTAGACCCATTTGCCTTCCTGAGGCTCAGGGCACAACCTGAACACGGGCCCCACACTGGGCTGCTTGGGAATTGCAGGGATGGGTTGATTTACCTGTGACCCATTTGCACGTGGTGGTGGGAAATTAGCCAAGTGCCAATAAATTCCCTGCCTGCAGAGCTGATGGGTTAAGAAGCAGATCCCCTGCTTGCAAGAGTTAAGAGGGAGCTATGAATAGGGGAGATTGAGAGGTAGCCACCTCTTTGCTATAACCCCTACAAGTGTTTGGTCCTGTGAGGATGGGGTGCTGCCCAATCCTGGTCCATCACATCCCTCATCCAAACCCCAGATGTTGCCATCAGATCTACAGTGCTGATGGTAATCTGAGATGCTCTACCTGCCTAATCAAAACAGGGACCTACTAAATTCAGTCTTTAGGGAGCTATAAAGAGGAATGTCATCAAGAGAACAGGGGGAGCCTCTTGGGGCAGGTGGCTCACTCTGGTGGGTCCCAGTCTTTCTGCAGCTCTAGAGTTCACCTGTTTCCTGCTGCCTGCTCTGCCTCTGTGCAAAAGGCTGGCTGGTGGGCTGATGGGTTAACCCCTCAGTGCACATTCCTGCTTTGCCCTGTCCACGGTGCAGAGTTTGGACAGAGGAAACCAATGAAGTGGCCAGTTTGTGCCAGGGTGTTGCTGGATGGCCCAGTGTCCTGTATCCTAGGTGAGAGTCCTCACGGGCCCCTGGGGCTCAGGCAGTGAGCGCTGCCCTTGGCAGGCAGGGCAGAGTCTGCAGCGGGAGCTGTGTCAGAGCAGCCGTGCATGTCTGCAGTGCCGCCTGCTGGGACACTGCTGCTCGGGGCTCCTTTGCTCCCAGGGCTCACCCGTGACACTGCCATGGGGTGTTCTCTGCCACGCAGCCGTTCCTGCCTGCAGTGGGACAGAGCTGTGTCACACCCCTGGCCAGCAAGGACCAGGCTAGGAGGCAGAAGTGGCAGGGTGTCTCCCTTGTGGTGGAGGCTGGCATGCTCTTTCCTCCTTGAAGGAAAGCCCTGAAGAAAGGACTGTGAATAGGGTATCACAGCTGAGAATTTAGACGTCAACCTAGAGCATTTACCAGGTTGTTATTAATTAACTGTTGTTATGCAACTGTTTTATCTCCAGCTGATCTTTGGCACTGCTGCTGTGTGGGAGGGTCAGGCAGTGGGAGCACCGGCTCAATGCTAGTGGTTATCAACTCATCCTTTGCTCCCATCAGGACAAGGTCATTCTGAGAAGGGCTTCATGCTGATGTCTTTTTTATTTGCAGAACGTTTTGATTCAGGGGAGGACACAGAACAGGAATTCCTGGGAGAGCAGCAGGGAGATTAGAAAAGGGGACTGCAGGGCAAATTCCCTGGGGGTTTTACGTTTGAAGCAATTTTAGAACATTAATCACATCCGCAGCAGATAGTTCCTAGAGTGTTGCAGCTGTGCTGTGGACACAGTGGCTGGAGGTAGGGCAGGAGGGCTGGCAGCTGGGGGAATCATGGCAATGGCTGGAATAGGGGCTGGCAGCCAGCAGCCTCACATCTCCCACTGCTTTCTAGATGGGCAGTGGCAGTGGAGAAAGCAGAGACAGGCAAGTGTTAAGGAGTGCATCACTCACCCTGTGTGTTGGTCTCTCCGTGCTCCCCATCCCCTGTGGCATGGCCCAGGAACGCTGTTGAGGGCAGAAATCACTGGGAGGGGGAATGGCCTGCCCTAGAAATTGTCACTGCTGCTGTAACCCATGGCAATAAAACATGGAAAGTGTGTCTATGGTTTACCTTCTCTGTGGCAATGGGTCAGGCAGACCCAGATGCAGAGTTCTGGCTTCTTGCAGTTCCTGCAAGGATCAGCCCCCAGTGGGTAGCTCTTGGCATTCCCTGAAGGCTTTTGAGACCCAGGACCTTGCAGGGAACTGCAGGCAGCCTGACATGAATCCGTTGCTTTGCATCACCGTGAAGAGCTTCTGTCAGCCCCTGCCTGCAGCTGTGGTGCTGGGGCAGCAACTTTTGCAGATCATATTCCTTCTCTGCCATGTGCCTGCACACACAGAAGCATCCCAGATACCAAGTGCAGTGATTTAGCTTCCACCCATTTCCCAGGTGGCATAAGCTGACCACAAAGTCCCCTGTCCTGGCCATGGCTGGTAAAGGGCTAGAGCCAATTGCCAGCACTTAACTCTTGGGGGAAAGATGCTTTCTACCCATGCCAGGGCTCCAGGGAGCTGTGTGGCTCTGCAGACAGGCCTGGCAGGAGCAGATCCCCCCTGCTAGGCTCACCTCCCCTTACCTTGTCACGGAGCAACCTGCTGATAAACAACTTCCAAGTGTGTGTTCCTGCTGGTGGCCTGTCCCCAGGACTGGCGAGTGCCTCTCCAGAGCAGAAGCAGCAGGCTGTAAAAGGGGTGGGAAGGAGATGTCTCCATGCTGGAGACAGCAATGGGAGCTCAGCCCAGGACTGCTGGCACATGATTCTTATTCTTCCTCTTGGTCTGTATCCCACCCTCACCTCCATCCCTCACCTTTCCCCTGGGTCCCCTCCTTCCTTCTCCCTCCCTCTCTCTGCAGTGCCTGTCTCAGTGTCCCGTACTTTCGCCTTCAGCAGAGGGGACTCCCTGGCTGGCTCTCCAGGTAACAGGGCATGGCTTTGGCCAGGGGCCTCTGCATGTGACAGGCTCTTTCCAGCACCATCCATGGTGCCCCAGCCCCCCTCACCCTGCATGCTGGGCAGTGCCCACGGCACCCCTGGGCAACCCCTACTGGTTGGAGCATTGGTGGCAGAGTGGGGCCAGCAGTCCTGCCACAGCCTTCCCAGTATGATGCAAATCCCTGGAGGAATGGGGTGGGGACAAGGGGAAGCTTGGGCCTTTCTTGGTGTGCTCTTCCTGTAATTTCCTGCACTTAGCTCTTGGGGTTTTGGCTTGCTGCTTTTGGTGACAGTGACCTGCAGCCCTGCATGCCTGCTGCCCTGCCCCCTTGCTTTCTGCTGATCCGGGTAATAAAAAGGCATTCTAGCAGCAGAGCAAAGTCAGCACAACGTCACCTCTGCAAGGAGCAAGCTGCCTTTGTTCCCTAAAAAGTCACTGAGTAGACAAAATCCATCATGCTGTGTGTCAGAGGCCACACTGTGTGTCAGAGGCCACCAGTCAATGTGAGTGACAGACCAGCTTGCCATGGCAGCCTCTCCTCCTGATCTGTCATTGTTGGGGTGAACAGGAGCACGCCCTTGAGACAGGTTAAGCAAATATTCACAGCCTGCTGGCTGCCACCAGGAGAAGTTGTACCAAATGTGGTGCAGAAGGCCGGCATTAACAGGAGAGCTGTCAGTGACAGGCAGCAGCCCTAACCTCTGCTGCTGGCACCGGCTCAGAGTCCTGCCCAGTCCCTTTGCTTTGTGTGGGGCTGGCATGGCACAGTCTCCCCAGCAGCCTGCAGTGAGGAGGACAGGCTGCAGACCCCTGCCAGCCCTGTGTGCAGCCACTGGAGGTGACAGGTCCACCTTGGCTCTACACTGGCACTGGGAGCCCAAGCAACACCACGAGCGAGAGTGAGTGTTTGCCTCTCTCTCTGCTGTCCCCTCCCCAGTGAACAGGTCACCGTCGCGCTGCAGCGGCCTCAACCGCTCCGAGTCCCCCAACCGGGAGGACTATGGAGGCAGCAGCACGCAGCTCCACAGCAGCAGCAACAACATCTACACGCCCGACTACTCCGTGCACATCCTCTGCGACGTGCAGTTCGTCAAGGTATGGGCAGGGCTGGCAGGGACTGTCCCACCCTGGCCACCCCTGTCCAGGTGCCCTCTTGCCCCGCTGTGCCCCAGGAGCCTGGTGGGTGCCCAGTGGGTGCTGAGGAGTCCTGCACCCGCTCCTGCTGGCGGAGGTTTGGAGCGGTGCCGGTGGGGCGCGGTGCCCGCTGAGCTGGCGCACGTCTGTGTGCCCAGGTGACCCGGCAGCAGTACCACAACGCGCTGGTGGCCAGCCGCATGGACAGCTCACCTCAGTCCCCCGACATGGAGGCCTTCGACAGGGATTCCACCAAGGCCTCGACTGCGCGGGGAACCCCACAGACACCCAAGGAGGACCCTGCCACCCTCCTGAATGAGAGGAACAGCATCATGTGTGAGTCACCAGCAACATTGCTTCCCTGCCACAGGCCAACTCGCACGTCCCCTAGGGAGGTCTGTGCTGGAGCTCTCTGGCATGATGCACACACCACCTCTGGGATGCAGTTGCACGTGGAGTGGGGCTCCTACACAGTGCAGGCATTTGCACACACGCACCTGTGAATGCCTGCACGTCCACACAGCTGCCAGTGTGCAGCATGTAATTCCTCACTGCCTTGTGCTCGCGTCCCCTGGGGTCCCTGGCAGCCGGACCTGCTGCCGTGGCTGGCATTCCATCACGTCCTGCCCCAGGGCACAGCACCTCCCTGCCCTGTGTCCCTGCAGGCAGCCGCTCCGAGGGGCAGCGCAGTCCCAGCGAGTCAGTGTTCCTGCGCATGGAGGGCATCCCCTTCATCCAGGAGGAGCTGGCTGACAACGAGGAGAACAGCAAGCGGCAGAGTGAGTCTGGCTGAGGGGCACACACCCCTGACCCCGGGGCTGGCGAGGCCACGGTGCCCTGAGGTGCTGCAGCCATGCTGGGCTCTTGCAGACAGTGAGTGCTGCGGGACTGTCCTGGAAGCAGAGTCCCCAGGTCGAGAGGCTGGGACCAGCTCATCGCCGAGCAGCTCTGAGGAGGCGCTGGGCAAGAGGCTGCTGAGATCCCTCAGTGAGTGCCTGACCCCGGGATAGCACACCCAGGGCAGAGCTGTGCCTCAGCACCCCACTCCCTGTGTCACCTGTTCCCCAGCCCTGTCCTGGGAACACCCTGCATGGGGCTGGTGTGGAACAGGGGACAACCTAGTTCCCTGTCAGTACCTCAGCAGAAGGTGAAACTGCACCTAGGGCTAGCTCAGGCAGAGCCAGTCACTAGGTCCTGGCCCAGCCCTATGCACCCCAGCCCTGAGCACCCTTGGCTCCCAGCACCCCTGCCCTGAGCACCCTTGCTGCTGCAGGTGGGCGCAAGCAGCGGACATCATCAGAAGGTGAGAAGTCGCCAGAAGAAAGCTCCAATCTCGCCCCATTAATCACCTGAGCAGCAGCGTGGCCAGAGCACAGTGCTGGAGGCCCATGCAGACTGGAGGTAGGAACCTGCCTCTGGGCGTGACATTCCTTTCCCAGCAAGTGGGAGGTCACTCAGTCTAAATAGTGTAAAATAAGTTTCAGGCAGCAAAACCAAATAGGGTGGTTTGGAGCCCATGCATGTGTGCGTGTTGGTGGGGCTGGAGCACGATCAAGGGATATGGAGCAGGGTCTGCTCTCAACAGCAGACTGGATGGCAGAGACGAGTGAGACCTCGGCTCATGTTTTCACTGTCTGCACCAATACACACCTGAGCTTGGCTAGGAAAGGCGCTGCAGGCTTGAGCAGCAGCAGGTCAGAGAGGGCAAGCTCTGGCCGCCTGCACCAGGCTGTGCTTGTGTCTTCCAGGTCTGCAGCATGGGGGTCTCCTGCCGTGAGGCTCGTGTCCAACAGCAGGAGGTCTGCACTCGCTCGCTGCCTGTCCGCCCGCTCGTGCCGCCCCTCCCTGCAGGATCTGTGCAGAGCCCCATCCCCAGGAGAGAAAGGATGAACCCCGGCAGGGCTGAAGCACGCAGGTAGCCTGGACCAGCTAGCTGGAGTCCGAGGGCCCTTGCCCTTGCGAGCCGCTCCCTGGTAGCATCTGGTCTCAAGGAAGAGGTGGAAAAAGGAAAGGTGAAAAAGTATCTGTCACGGCATCCCTGCAAGCAGTGCAGGGAGGGGCAGCCCAACCCAGAACTGCCCTTTACCATCATTTACCATCCCCATCCCAGCGGGGCCTGGAGCCCCGTGGTGCTGCAAGACGTGGTCTCCAGCACGAGGAGAACGTGCTATTTGGGGGTGCCACGCGCAGCTCAGGGCCCAGCACACGAGTGTGCCGTGCCTGGTGACACGCCCGCTTGCAGCCTCGCTCACGCTGACCATGGACACGGCCCAGCGCTCCCGAAGCCCTGCCAGGCACAGGGCAAGGAGCCCCGCTCACCCCCGGGTGCAGCCCCCTGGCTGGGGAGGGGGCTCTCCACGCTGCACCGGACCACCCTCCTCTCCACACGCCTGCCGCTGTGAGGGAGGCTCGCTCCAAGACTCGGGGTGGGACAGACCAGTCAGTAGTTTTTGTAGAGGCTCAATGCAACAGGGATATCAACATTAAAAGTGATTTTTCCCTGAGCGATGCCCTCTCTGTGTCCATGGGAGAGGGAGAGACTCTAACCCCCCAGCAGGCCAGGCTGCCCTCATACCCAGCGCCAGAGCTGCCTGCAGGAACAGGACTCAGACCCACTGAAGGGAGCAAGAGAACGGGTCAGCAAGTGCTGCCCAAATTCTTGCTCTGCAGCTGAGCTCTCTGTCACTCCTGCTGCCTGGAAAGCACTTGGCAAGCAGGGAGATAAGCCCCAGCTGTGCAGATGAGGACTGGGGAAAACCAGGAGTTAATATCAGGCCATTGCAAACACAATAGTGGGATACACGTGCTGGAGTACAGCCTGACAGATAAGGACAGAAATCTCATAGTCCACCCATGCTGATAAAACTTCAGCTGGAATAACTGCAGCCCTGTCTGGCACTGTCCTTCCAAGGAAACACACAGCAATTGAAAAGTGGGCAGAGGAAAGCAAGGGCTGGAAAACAACCTACCCCAAAGGCTGAAGGAAATAAAGTCACTTAATCTTTAGTGGTGAAGGATGTGAAGGGGAGAGAGGAAGTTTTCAAATACATAAAAAGCTGTTGTACAGAGGAAAGGAATAATCTGTTCTCTGTTGCCATGGTAAATGGGATAATTGGTAATGAGCTTACACCGCAGAAAAGGAGAAATTTAGGTCACTTGCTAGGAAAAACAAGGTTGGTAAGACTAGCAAAATACCAATATAGATCACATGGGGTGGGGCCAGCCTTCACACCAGGAGGTCTGTAAGGGCAGAAGTGTAAGCAAATACCGTAAATAAAAAACATTAACTCCTCCTAAGATGACCCCTAGAAGTCATCTTTTAACCACTTCCTCACCATCCCTGCTGTGAATGGACACCAAGAGGAAAAAAAGATCCTCACCTGCAGAGAAGAGGAAAGGCTGCCTGTGTCTCACTTATATGATACAAATACTGACCAAAAAAGAACGAGACCCCATGCATTCTGTGCAAACACAACAAAGCAATAAGGCACCATTTGTGCCTTTTCTGCCTAAGCTGCAGCACAACCAAATCCATCAGGGTAACAGTGACTACTGCTACCTGACACAAGGCAAGGAGCTGTCCCCCTTTCTTCACAAGATCCTGTCAGGAGGCCGCTCTGTCAGCTCACAAATAGATCTGCAGTGACTGCAGAGAGCAAAACAGATGGTCCCAGCTCTTTTTCAGTGCCAGAAAGACAGGCTGCTGCTGGCAGGCCCCACTGAAGCAAGTGGGAGTAGATGGGGGTTCACCAGGAGCCTGCTGAAAAGGATGAGCAGAAGAGATCTGCTTTTTGACACCTGAGGGGCAGGCCAGGAGCCCTGGGCCAGGGAAGGATGGCCAAATGGAAACACTTGACCATCCAGAAAGCAACCACAGACAGACAGACAGGCAGGATGAGCTGGGCAGCACAGGGCAGTGGGGCAGGAAGAACACAAGATGAATACAGGAGGAACTGGTTGGCTTCATGTAGTCACAGGGAGCTCTCAACAACACTCTCCCAGTAAGATTCCCCCTTTGGTAATGGCTGTGATCATCAGAGATGCAACACACCCTAAGAGAGAAAGGGACAGCCTTGAAACAAACTAAGTGGACAAACCAGGATGTTGAGGCTTCAACTTGAGCCTGGGGAGAGGTTCATATGGTTTGAAGACATGACATCACACAAGGTAGGGGTAGCATTCAGAGACAAAGGTTTAATTTCACGTCAGCAACACAAAGAAGCAATTATCACAATTACAAATATTTGCTCGTATAAGGCTCAGAAATTAGGAAGGGGTGGGACGGATGGAGAGAAGAAGCTAGCAACAGCTTTACCCCTCCCCAAAACACTACTGAGTAACATTAGTTCACAAGCCATGTGAGATCCCAACCTCTGTGCTGTTATCACACAGTGCATTGCACTGGCACAAGACTTTGCCATGATCAAAATGATCAGTTACATGGAGTTGATTTGGATGTGCTAAAGATGCAGCTCTAAGGGCCTGGAGACCAGGCTGCTGTTGTGAAACAAGAGCCAAGGTGGCTCATGCTGCCCCCACCTCCTGGGGGCACTGGTGCAAGGACCACTTAAAAAATGTCAGAAGACGATTATCCCTGATTGAGCTACTGCTCCCATCTTTATTAAACCCCAAGAGGTGTGGGAAAAGGCAAGCCATGAGCAGAGAAAGACATGGACTACACACTATAGCTTTGGTGACTTCATGTAAGTTTGGTTGTTCATGTGCTTCATTGGATTTTTGTGACAGCTTCATGGATGGACTTGGCCACATAGTCCAGGTTCTTGGTAGTTAGACCACACATGTTGATGCGCCCACTAGCCATCAGGTAGATGTGTTTTTCCTTGACCATGTACTCCACTTGCTTAGCTGGGGAAACAATTGGACATCAGGTCAGAGCAGTGACCCACAGCTCAGAAAAAAGAACTAGTACTAGTCAGGGATGCTTGAATCTTTTTCAAGCAGAAAAGTTCAAGCACTGGTCACTAAATTACTGTGTGACGCTTCGCCCCTCTCCAGCCACAGACGCAGTGATGCCAAAACTCCAGTGAGACAGAGAGATTCCTGCTTGGACTGCTTCAGCCCAGTTCACCCACAGCCAACTGCCCCCACCCACTCCTCCCTTCAACAGGCCACTGGATACTTACGGTTCAAGCCTGTGAAGCTGAACATGCCAATCTGCTCTGTGATGTGGTTCCAGGTGCCTGGGGTGCCCAGGGCCTCCAGTCGAGAGCGGAGCTCTGAGCGCATCAGCAAGACCCGATCTGCCATCGTCTTCACGTTGCCCTTCCTGCAGCAGGCAGGAAGCAGAGCATGAGCATGGGCACCCCTGTGGTCTGAAGCCATCTGGCCAAGCCTGACACTCAGGGAGACAGCTTCCCTCCCTTGCCCTCTCCCAGTGGCCCTGGCAACACGTACCACTCATCAAAGAGCTGCGGGGAAGCAAGTGTCGTTGCCACAATGCGCGCTCCCTGGGAGGGAGGGTTGGACCAAGTGGTGCGCACAATCTTCTCCATCTGGGACAGCACACGCTGCACGTTGTCTGCATCCTTCCCCACCACCGTCAGGTTCCCCACACGTTCATCTGTGGACAAGCCAAGAGATGTGAGCTGTTGGTTCAACACGTCGTGGCAAGGCAGAGAATTCCCCACCCCTCAGCATGCCAGCCCCATCTGTCTGGGTATGATGCTACTGGGCCAGCTTACTGCCAGACACTCACTGTAGAGCCCAAAGTTCTTGGAAAACGACTGTGCACAGAAGAGCTCAAAGCCCTCGGAGACAAAGTATCGCACAGCCCAGGCATCCTTGTCCAGGCTGCCAGAGGCAAACCCTTGGTACGCGGAGTCGAAGAATGGAAACAGGCTCCGGCGCTGCAAGGAGGAACAGTGTTAGAGGGAAATCCCCTCCCCACAAGCTCTCTTTTACCCCCCACAGTACCCGTAGGAGGGAAAAACGACCACTGAGTTCCTGTGTGACTTCAAAGGAAACCATCCAGCAACACCAGACTGAAATACTTTCTTTCTACTGGTGTGAAAGAATAGAAAGACTAAAGTGGTCAATAAAAGCCAATGCAGGAGAAAACTGCATTTGAGGACATAAGAAGTGCACCACTTCATATGCTACTATCCAGCACCTGCCTGCAGATAATCCTTCCAGCAGGAGAAACCTCACTATAGCCCATTCCAGAGTGTGAAAACAAGAACTTGGAGGCACAGCAAGAACTGCAGTGCATCTCTCCTCAGAGCACAGACAACCAGCACTCTGTTGTCCACCTCTCCCTTCAACACCTGCCTTGTGGGACTCTTTCAGCTTCTGCTACATCTCATGCCATTCCCTCAAAGCCCATTTCAGATGCAAATGCTCTGGCTGGCTCAAGAGCTATTTGCCCTCTCAGCATTGCTTTAGCCCCAGCAGCAGCCCATACCTTCATGACAGCAGCAATCTGCTTCCACTGGTCAGGAGTGGGGTCTGTGCCTGTTGGGTTGTGCGCACAGGCGTGGAGGATGAAAATGGAGAACTCCGGGGCTTGCTGAGGAAAGAACACATCTTGGTCACACACACACATGGACAAGACTGGGCACTCGCAGCACAGGGAGAGGCCTGGAGCTGCTCTGGCAACAACAGCCTCTTTTGCAGGGATCCACTTCCCAGCACAGCACACTAGAGCCTAGCCAGCTGCAGATGCTGACAGTACAGCACCAAGCTCAGCCCATCCCATGCCAGTTTTACTCACCTCCATGTCATTCAGCAGCCCCTGGAGATCCAGACCCCTCTTGGCAGCATCCCAGTAGTGGTAGGTTCTAATATCTTTGAAGCCAGCATCCATAAACACAGAATTGTGGTTCTCTGAGGAAAGAAATAACTTCTCAGAAAAGCACACCCTATCTCCAGCAAGCTTCCTTCTCCAGCCCCAGCACCTCCCCTTACACACATGAGAAGGCTGCTCCCTCACTGCCCCGGCCCCTGCAGGGAGCAGGGCTGTGCCTCCCTCTTGCTGACCCACAGGGCTCCCTGGGAGCAGCACTCACCCCAGGTTGGAGTGGAGACGTAGACCGGGGTGGCCGTGTTGTTGTTGCCGTTGTACCAGCGCCTCAGGAACTCTGCTCCAATCCGCAGAGCGCCCGTCCCACCCAGGCACTGAACGCTTCCCACCTGCAACAGAGACACCTGCCAGCCCTGCCCACCCAGGCCAGCACTGCATGGGAAGCACAGTGCTTGCAAGAGTCAGACAGGATCCCACACGCGTGCCCTGGGGTCAGCTCAGTCAGAATGCCATCCCCTTCCAGTGGTCTTCAGCCTCCTTCAGTGCTCAGGCCCATCCTGACCACTTCTACCATTATAAATAGACTCCAGCCATTCCTGTTATATTTTGGCACAGAGCAGATTCTCAGCTACTAGTTTATTTCAGGAAAGGTGGTGTAATTATCTGACCTGGGTTTCCTGTGGGGAGGCTATTAAAAGATGAAGGAAAACACAGATTCCAATCACAGGCCACGTTCGGCTTTTCCCCAAAACCACAACTACTTGCACAAACAGTTTCAAGTGCACGAGTTCATCAAGTAAGCTACAATCAAGAAAGACCATGTCTGAGAAACCCTCAAATTCTGCCAAAATGCGGGACCTCTACACATTTGTTCTCTTCTACTCAGTCTGCTGTAGAGACACCCCAGGGACCCCAGTGCTCCCTGTCCACCTCGTACCCGTTTCTCCTTGATGGCAGGGCTGTCATCACCCAGGGCGATGCGGGAGGCGTTGGCCCGGAACTCGGGCAGGCCCAGGATGGGCAGATACTCGTGGTTCAAGCTGTTGTCGCTGGCGATCATCTGCTCCACCTTCTTCACCACCGGCAGGACCCATGGCTGCCCCTCGTCCGTGCGGTAGGCTGCGGGATAGGGACAGCCGTCCTTACTGCACCGGGGGGACGGTGCGCCGCCAGTCCCCGAGCGACCCGCCCGGACACCGAGGCCGGCCCCGCGACCTTGACGCCCGCTGGAGCTCGCTGCCCGCCACCCCCCCGCGAACGCCCGGGCGCTGGCCGCGGCCCCGTGACCTTTGGGGCACGGCACCCGCCGCCGCCGCCCGGCCGCCGCAGCAGGTGCGCAAGCCGCCGCAAGGGCACCGACCGGCCCGAGCCGCGGGGAACGGCCCCGCCGAGCAGGACGGAGCCGCGGACTCACCGCCCACGCCGAGGTTGACCTTCCGCGAGTCGCTGTCCTCCCGGAAATCCGCCGTGAGCTTGAAGACGGCGACAGGCGGGGAGTGGGGGACGGCGGCGAAGATGGAGGCGGCCATGGCGGC